CAAGCAATCAAGGAGACATGAACAATTGGTAGAGAAATCATTGAAATAGGTGTGTTTATCACTTATATACAGGAATAGGAAAAGGCTCCGGAAACGGACGGTTGTCCGTACCGATATAGTGAAAGAAGGCTCTATCGTGTTCATTGTAGAGGGATAGTCAATATCCATACCTGAATCCACTGTTCCAGGATTCATTCTCTGAACAAGGGGTGTATGAGAGAAGAGAGCTTACAATAGTTGCCGATGGGTGTTCGTTTTCACACGACACGACATCATATGGCTTGGGGTTGGTTAGGAGTTGGCAAAGATCCATAAGGGTAATCATGAGTTCTCTATAATTTGAAACATTCTCTACCCTCAGGCAGTCTCAATAGAATACCATATTAAAACTGCTGGATTGCTGCAGAGGAGATTGAGCATTACCATACTGCGCAGGGCTACTGTCCAACAAACCCTGAAGAATTCTTATGAGCAAAGCAATAACACGAAAGAACTGACCGATCTCAATAATTGCTTTTGTCGTTCTTGTAATGTGTTTCTTTCATTTTCTAATTGTTGTACCCGTTGATATGTCTCCTCTATCATTCTCCTATATCCATGTACTTGTCTCTGCCAATCATTAATCATAGTCAATGAGGAACTTATTCGAAAGGCACGGCTATGAGAGTACCTTAAGAAGAAGTTCTTCATTGACTAAGATTGTCTCGTACGTGGTAAGAACAAGGTGATCCTCTAGCTATCGGTTACACCAACATCATAAACCACAAAGTTATAAACCAACTTCACCTCTATCGAGTAGCCTGCGTCTAACTCCTCTCAAGATTTATGAACCAGAATGTCCTGAAAGATGTCATCAAGAAGTTACAAAGAAAATAATTCTCACCACAAGCGAACTGCTTCATCAACTGAGCATTATCTTCAGAAGCTTCGTCTCGGCCGGTTCCTCACTATTCCACTCGGCACCTATCAGCAATTCACGGACTTCAACACAACAGAATAGAAACAAGTAAATAAACAATGAAAACACATACCTTTGTCAGAATTCCAGTTAAAACTTTCATCGAACCTCCAGAAATGGATCGAGTTCATTGGAGTACAGCGCAACCCGAGGCACCGCAAAGCGTCTGAAATCTGGACAAAACTTGAACAGAAGCAGCACAAGAGGATCCTAATACTTTCTGTCCAAATCTGAGCTTGAAATTTCTGAATGAACTGAGTTATGCAGCTTCAAAGAAAAAACTCCTTAAGGGCTGTTCAGAACCGCAGGCCTCTTTATTATCCTCAACTAACGATTGTTGTAGGTATTCAAAATAGGTTGTTCGACACCTGCAGAACGAAAAATTCAAATCAGATTCATTCATACCTCTATCCCTCTGCGTTCAGTCTGAATGAGCTCCTTGTTATCTTTCCATCCTTCTGAACAACCGGGATCACGAACAGAAGCTTTGTGAACTGAACACGACCGAGTTGGTGTGAGAGAGATGAAGTTAGATGGAAGGATAATCCGATAGGGATGTATTACGTCCATCCTCAGTGTCTCAGTAGACATGTGATAGACAACCAGAGGATAATATCTGAAACGAAATCATGATACGCTCGAAGTTAACAACTTAGCTGTAAATCATCGAGATTCATGCAGTCCCATAGCCCAAGGGCTGAATCTCAAACTTCTTTACTGTATGAACTATGATCATCATTCAGTAGTCTTCGCGAACCTACTTCTAGCAAGAAAATGACGGCTGGAGAGGTATCGTTCTTCCTCATGTACAATAACCTGTTCCTCTCTTTAAGGAGGTGAAAAGAGAACCAACCACCTGGAAGAAGGGGTAATGGAACATCACAGATATCATCCTACTTGATGAAGACAATACGACGGCAGGATGAAGATTCTAACTGTCACAGCCTTGCTCGGGAGACGAATCTTTTCTGATTCTTCCGTGCCAATATGTTTGAGGCTTTACTTAACAGCTTCTCTGCTTCATGTCTCACGTCAAGCCCTGTTTCGGAATCGGAAAACAAGTACGTTTATCCAACAAAGCATCCAGCAACAAGCTCCAATAGAAGATAACCTCAGTTGTCGATAATCTCACCTTATGATTTAGGTTCTGTACTGGTTCTGTTGTCGTTCATCCTCCAAAATCAAGTTGGAAAAGAAGAATCTCATTGGAATCCTGACAACTCTAAAAAAAATGACAATTTATCAATGAAGGAACAAATGAAAAACAATTCGAAAAAAAGTTCAAAATCAACTGAGAGTAACCTGCAGACGCTTCTTGTCGCCCGGTTCATCACTGTTACATTCAGCACGCAAACCACTAACTACAGCACAAAATAATAAAAGACTGAAAACGAACAATAAAAACACGTGAATCCATCGAAATTTAACTTTAAACTTTTAAGGAAACGACCGAGTCCGCTAGAGCACAGTTCAACCCAAGGAAAGGACCGAGTTCGTTGGAGCACAGTTCAAGATTCTGGTTGAAAGACCACATGCAGCAGCTTGATTCAGGATTCCATAACTTTGTAGAATCTTTGGCGATACTTCAGTTCTTCATCTCCCAAAGACCTTCATAATTTTGAGTGAATGTTCCGATGTTGTTGACGTCGTTGCCTGGTTACTTTTACACAACATGCAAAAGTAACAAAACGAGTTTATGAATATTCGAAAACAATTATGTTTGTTGTTATTTATCTTATATTTTAGTTTTGTTCTTCCGTATATTGCAAATTTTCAGAATAATAGGGAATTCATGAAAGATGGAAAATTTTGTAACTGTTAGATTCCATGATGAAGAGCTCCGCTTCAGCTCAGCAGAAAACCTCGTGTCAAAAGAGACGCTAATCACCGATTTCCTTTTACCAAAGGACTCCCTGATTTCTTTAAGGTATGATATGAAGGATGGAACAGTAGGATGTCTGTGAGTCGTATTTTCAATTATTATTTACTAATTCCAATAAATATAGATTGAGTAAAGACGGAACGGCGTTCCTGTTACCACCTGATTGGGCAGGGATTAAGTTTTATTTGAAGAGCGATAAGGCACCATCAAGGCCTGCAACTCCAATGAACCAAGCTATGAGCGAAAGTTCTTCTAGCCAGAAAGGTAATACTGAAATTCAACTCAGAATAATTTTTCTCAGTTTTTAACTGTAGTTTTAAACAAGAATTCATATTTTCTACTCTCTTATTATTTTAGATTCGTCCAAGTTCAAAAGTTATTCGCGCTATTTGTTTTACACTCGTATTTTATTGAAAGACAACGGGTCAATCATAGAAGACGATCGTATGCAATACCCTTGTGTCCCTTTTCAGACAACATTCCTTCCTAAGCGTTATTTTGTAATCTCTACGCGGCATGGGAGTCATAGTTGTCTTGAGGAAGGCGATGAAATTAAAGTATACAATCCCGAACATAAACCATTCGTGGTGAAAGTAGTCTACTACGAAGACGATCGCGATTTCATAGTATTCGATTCGGATGTTAAACTATGCGACAATATGCCTTTCCTTGGTCCCGTTGTGGGAGGTACCTATTATACCCTCTTGGTACGTTTTCGTAAGATTATTTTCAGCACCTTTCGTGCATAAGTATATTAACTAAAGTTTGTTTAGGGGTTTGCTGATGTTAAGCAGGATAAAACCCAGTCGAAGTACCTAGCACCATGTTATACAGCAGGTGTGATTATCTCGTCACAGCCTAACTCGACCGGCCACGTATCGGGGAGTTCAAGGGGATTGTCTGGGTTCAGTGGAGGCCCCGTTTTCGATACAAGTAATGGTTAAAAATCGAATAATCTAAGATAAGCTAAAAATTTTTACAGTGGACAACAGCCTGATCGGAATATGCGTATCCACAGATGATTTAGATGATAGGGAAACCACGTTCGGAAAATTCACCTCTGATATGATCAACTACTGTAAGGAAACTTTGATCGTCAGAATAATGTCTGTGGAATTTGCAATTAGTTCAGCCTTCGCTCACTTACTTTCAAAAAAAGTAAATTTTATTTGTTTTACACATCACTCACATTAATTTTTCTTTCAGAAAAATGAAAAGAGAAAAGAAAGGAAAAGACGTCTTGAAGAATGATGAATTTGCAATTAAGGACAAAGCAACAGTACAAGTTTGTCGCTTATAATTTCATAGCGCTGCGACCAGGCTCCTACATTTTATAGAAGTTTCTGTATGACAAAGGTGATATCGACTGATTACTTCGGAATTCATAAGTCATTGTTTCCTTCTCTGGTTTTTTTTGTTCGCGCTTATGGTAATGATGACTAAATCTCAGTCTCGCTCGTATTCTCGTAATGTTCATCATCTTCTGATCGGAACCAATCTCACTTGACTCCTTCTCTCCTCCGTTTGCATGTGTTCTTTTCTTCGTTCATGATTCGTTGTTACGCGGTAAATCTGTGAGCTGTTATCCTCTCTCATAGTGTTTCTTGGTACTTCTCCCGTTTACCTATTCTCAAGCTTTCTATGTCAGGGACCGTCCATTTGTTATTTTGTATTTCTATTCTCCATACGCGATCATAATATGAGATAGCTTTATCTACATTGTATTCTAATCAAATTTGCATTGTCGAGTCTCTATCTCTACATGTTGTATGAAATTAGTTGCTTTTCATTCATACTCCTACTATTCATCGATATCTCTGTTTTCTCTCTTTTAACTGACAAATGTTTTATCTTTATTGAATTTTTGAAGGATCCCATTAGTTTAACCTGAAGTTCTCATTTCATAGATGCATAGCCTGTGTCGTACAATGTACGGTGCGGAAGTTCATAAGTACACGCGGAGTTCCACGTTTCACGGTCCCCACGGACCAGATCCCTAGGGAGAGGCGAATCTATGACACTCAGCGTCGCAATTTTTTGAATTTTTAATTTTTCCCGTCGTGTCGGGACCAATAAAAACTTGGAAAAATTCCAAAATTTTCACATTTTTTCAACTTTTCTTTGAATTTTTTCTCTTTTTGTTCCATTATTTTCAAGCTTTTCCTTGCCAGTTTTGAACTGTTTCTTTATATGTTATTAGTAGTATGTTGTTGTTTCATTCCGACTGTTTTCAGGCTGTGTATGCACCCACTGCGACAGTCATCGTCAGTTGAGGAGAGATGCACTGAAAGGTACGTTCCTTCTGTGTTCGTCTTAATCGATAATTCCAATAAAGCTTTTATGAATTTCTTTGTTTGTTGTAATTTCCTCATGTGTCATCAACAAGTGTTTGTTTAATAGGGACATGGAGGTAATAGGGGACTCAGAGGACTCTGGGTGGAGTGGAAGTTCTCGTTGTAGTTGGTTGTTGTGGGTTTCATTGTAGTTAGTTGTTGTAGTCTGAGTTCACCATTACTTCTTCTGTTTTCATCGATTTCTTCCTATTACTCCTACTATCGTTAACTTACTGGTTATCGATTGATTTCCTGTGTGAGTCCTTATGGTATCGTTTATGTTGTCCAATTTCTAAACTCTTTCTTCTTCCTTCGCATCATTCACCTTTTCATCAGCATTTTCCTTTTTTCTCATTTTTTGTTTTCATTTCTTCTCTATCAAGTTGAGAGGGAAAAGAGATTTTCATTTCTGGATCTTCGTTGTTTCTTTCCTTTCTTGGTAATCCTTCCGTGTTCACACTTTTTTGATTCGAGATTGCTCATCGTTCCTCTA